TTATTATTTCAAATATGTTTTATACCCTCCATCTTGGAAAGGAGGGTATATTAACTTTGTCATTCCGTTTGTAACATCCCTAAATATTTGTCGTAGACCCCATAAAGTATATATATTCATAATCAGCATAAAATTCTAAGACGATTTAACGATTTCCGTCTGTCTGTCTGTCTGTCTGTTGAAATCACTGTACAGGCCACATTATTTGACGAGCGTCAAAATTTAGCAGAATAATTTGTATTGTGTCTAGGATAGTTGGTATTGAAAATGAGATATATCGGTCCACGCTTTGGTACAGCCCCCATATAACGGTACCTCCCGATATTCGGTATTTTGATGATTTTTGCCACATCTTTTACGGGTTTGTCTGAAAATTGATATTTGTCGGTCATAATGGGTTCTAGCTCCTGTGGCGAAACTTTGCACGTATAAGTCCACGTTTTGGTATAGCCCCTATATAACGGTACCTCTCGATATTCGGTATTTTGATGATTTTTGCCACATTTTTTTACGGGTTTGTCTGAAAGTTGGTATTTGTAGGTCAAAGTGGGTCCTATTTCGTGTGGGGAAACATTGTTTGTATAGGTCCACGCTTTGGTATAGCCTCCATATAACGGTATCTTCCGATATTCGGTATTTTGATCGTTTTTGTCATATTTTATCAAGGATTTGTCTAAAAATTGGAATTTATTGGTCATAATAGATTCTAGCTCCGTTGTCGAAATATTGCATGTATAGGTCCACGTTTTTGTATAGCTCTATATAGCGGTACCGCCCGATATTCGGTATTTGATATTTGATATTCTTTGCATATACGCACACGTGTCAATGCATAATTTGGTCGATGATTTCGTTGTTGTTTGTCTATTCTCCTAAATCACACATTAATCCATACAATTTTTGCTAATCGTTGAATATTTCTTATTTTAGGAAATTAAAAACATAATGTTATAGTTCCCAAAAATTCTATAGAAGGCATATGTTTCACTAAGGAATATGTTTCACTAATATACATACATATATACATGTTTGTAAGTCATATTTTTAAAGAAAAGATTCGGTCTCTCCTAAATATTTATTGTTTTAACAATACTGAAAATATATTGAATGAATGTAGGCATCCCCTTCAGATGCTCGAGTCAGTTTCCTTCGTTATTCGTTGAATCGATTTTTAGCACCAACAAATATGTTTTATTCCGAACACCTCTCATTACTGGTAATTGACAACAATCCTTTCGGAAAATCATTGCCAAGTAGGTCCGGCATCTGTTTCTTCGGAAACATGGATGGATATCTTACTTATTCTATATTTTGGAAGGCGTTACCAAATACCTTCAAATTTCATATTAGCTTCCTAATGGCCGTCGTCCTGACGGCCGCCTGTCTTTGGAGGATTCCTGTTTGCATATTATTTCAATGGAAAACAGCTGGCAATTTGACAATTTGGAAAAGTGGCAAAAAATTCTGCTAATTTGTGATGATTATGTCAATTTCCCAGCCATGATCGGCGAGAACAATAAAATCCGTTTGTCGGCATGATATGAATAAATTTTGCAATGCTTTGTCGGCTCGAGCAGAGAAAAACCCTTTCATTCATTCATTCATAACGGAGCGATTGGCATTTACATTGAATGTCGCTGCTGGTGATAAATGAAGTTACAACTCTTCTCTGAGCGGCACATCACTCACTCACTGAGCGACAGACTGAGTGTGACAACGTTTCCAGGATCTTGACTGTTGCCACACCTCATTAGGGCTGAATGACTTAAGGAAATATTTGCAAGATCCTTAATCACCCACACAGACACACGCGCACTGCATGCCTAAGCGCACACACATGCGCTCCTGGATTTTCGTATTCCACATCAAGGCTTTACCTAAGAAGGAACTTATCGTTGTGTGAGAGCGAGAGAGCTGGGTTTAGAACGGATATAGCTTTGCTAAAGTTCCTGTAGGAAATTTTCGCTCGTTTTCATTAATCCTAAGTCCGGAGGGGATTATTAAATCCCCCCGAACCCAGTTCGCGTCCATAGGCTTGATCAAAATAATCTTGATTAATTAAATCTGGACTTTATCAAATCGTGGTTTATGGGTATCGAACCGGCGATACACGGCGATGCGATGGCAGTTAGAAGCGTGGTAATCGCCAGTCTTTGGATTTTAGATATTCCAAAGATGTTGGGAGATCAGTTGAGGTCTTTGGATTTCTGTCGACCGTTCGAAAAAGTATGTCCAACACATTGTCCACCCTGGGTTTGACAATGGGTTTCTTTAAGCTATATGTGCTATTTGATCGCCGTTGAATAAGCGTGGATGGCTAATGAGTTTTCTTTCAGGGTTTGGATTATAGGAAATTTGGAATCAAGTTTAAGCAAATGCATAGCTGACTCTGGAACGCAACTGTACTTTTTTCTAGGTTTTTGGGTTCTACAGAGTTTGAGGTTGTTGATGACATAAAATATAGATGACATCATGTTATGAAGAGTAAAAATAGGGAATAATTTTAATTAGGAGAAGGTTCTAGATTGTTTGACTGAGTGCGTCTTTTGTAATTCTTTGGAAATTGAGGGATTGAATATGGAACATATTACCTATGTTTTTGAACAGCTATCATATATTTGAATAATACCTGAGAATTGACATTTTAGATTATCGACAGTGATATAATCCATATGGACCACGTTTTACGCATCCTCCATATAACAGCACGAATGGATTATAGGTCCCAAGTCACATTCACAGGGCAAAACACTGCTCGCACAATAGGTCAACATATACATATTTCCAATTTTGACAAACACCAACCAAATTACTATTACTTTGTTCCAGACCTGCAAGAATAAAAAAGTTTTTACTGCCGATTTTTTCCTTCATAATATCGAAGAAAATTGCAAAACTAGTAGATGTTTGCAGGTTCTGGAACAGACCAAACTTGTGAAAATTTTCTGATCATTATCTAGGGTTTTAAAAATTTCAATTGGAGGGGATGATAGTCGGCTAGTAAATTTGTGTTCATTTCAGACCAAAAATTTGTGTTCAGTTCAGATCTAAATTCGTTGGAATACACATGCATCATATTAGTCCGCTTCTCGAGAAATAAACCGTTCCTTGCTCTTAGTTATTTCGTTCCGGTTGTAACACTTCGAAATATACATTTCAGACCCCACAAAGTATATATATTCTTGATCAGCATAAAATTCTATGCCGATTTATCAATGTCCGTCTATCCGTCTGTGGAAATCACTCTAGCTTCCGAATGTAATGAAGTAAGTTGATAAAAATTTACTCATATGTGTATTATGTCTGCAGGACTTTTGGTATTGAAAATGGGCCATGTAGGTCCACATCTTCGTATAGTCCGCATATAACGGTACCTCTCGATATGCGGCCTTTTGATGATTTTAGCGAAATTGTTTCAAAATTAGTATCTGAAGTTCGAAATGGGTACTACAGCCTAAAACAGAAAATGCGGTACCCCCGATTTTCGGTATTTTGATGATTGTAGCGACATTATTTACCGGAATTATTTCAAATTTTGTATTTGAAGTTCGTAATGGATACTACAGCCTATGCCAGAAAATTGTCTGTACACCCTTATGACAAAAGTTGCGTATACAGGTCCACGTCATCGTATAGACTCTAATATACAGCTACATTCGGATTTTTAAGATTTTAACAGAATTTTTAATGGATTTTAATTTTTTGAAAAATGGCAAATTTGTACCAAATGGTGGAGGGTATTCAAAGTTCGGCCGGGCCGAACTTATAGCTTTTTTACTTGTTTTATGATCTTTGCACATTTTTTTACGGATTTGTCTAAAAATTTGTATTTGTAGTTCATAACATTTGTAAGACTCAGATATTCTTAAATGGATCCATTCACCCATTCCGTTCCAAGATATTATTTTTATTTTTTTATTTACTCAGAAAAAATACAAACCATTCTTTTTAATTCAATAAATACCCATCATTATTTTTTTGTTACTTTTTTAAAATTTCAGTAATGTACCCCTACTGACAGGTGACTCAAAAATTTGTTTAAAATTTTCCCTTTTCATACATAATTATTTTTCTGAAAAGGACTTTTTTCCTGTTTTAAGAATTAATGTAAAGATCAGAAGTGCCCTTTTTATGAATTTACAATTTGCCAAAAAGTGACTTTCTGCATTAAAAATGTTTGCGAATAAATGACGTCATGGCCCATTGAACTTGCATAGTATTATCCGATGATCATTTAAAAGATGGGCTTCTGCCCTGTTAGAGTTTAAACCCCAAGGGAAATTACGATTGGTCCATAATTGTGATCTGTACAACTACACAGAAAATTGGGAAAATGTTCAATTTGCGGTCCATTTTAAATAATTGCGAATATATCCAAAAACCATAGGCATTTATTCAGACCCAAACCCTAACTCGATGTTAATAGCGACCTGCGGAGTGATCAAAAATTAAATGGACAGAAGGATGGGCGGACACATACAGCAACTAAACGGCGAAAAAGGAATATCGATATATATCATTGTAATTCTAGGATCAATATTTTGAGATGTTACAAACTTTTTTGGAGGAATCAGTCATTATGGGGACAGGAGAAAGGTGATGTAAATCGAATCAACTTTTTCTATGGTTACACAAAATATACTAAAATTTAATTTATTTGGCAAAATATAACAAATAGAGCCAACAATTGTATATTTTTGCAAAAAAAAAAATTAAATGCATATTTTATTTAATTTTCTGCTAAGGAGAAAAAAATTAAAATCAGACACTAAAATAAAAAACCGACGGAACTTGAAATTTAAACGATGCATTTTAAAAATCGACACAATTTGGGATTTTCTTAGTTTATTAAGGCATCAGTTTGTATTTGGATTTGCTTCGAATTGAGTAGTTCTTATTTTCCAAACTCGAATAAATGTTATTTCCTCATGAGCAAAGAGATACCCAAAATTCCCAGTAATATCTTTAAAAATATTTATAATAAATCAAACGAAATCATATAATTTTCAAATTTTTTTCCATTGTATATTTTTGTATATAGTTCGTGTTTTTTCATTCTTCTTCTTCTTATCAAAAAGTAAAACTTAAAAATAATAATAATAAAAATAATAAAACTAAATGAAATTAAAATTAAAAAAAAAAACATAAAAATATTTTACAGATTTTGTTTGTTTGTTTCAAGACAAGCACAAGAAGTATCCAAAAAGACGATACTTTCGGTGTAAATTTGATATTTCCTGAAGAGTTGCGTTTCATCTTTTTCTTCTTGGTGGATTTATAAAAAAATAAATATTTTTTTGTTCCATTTGTTTGACGATTGTACTTTTGTTGTTTTTGTTTGGCGTAGAAAAGAGAAGAGACTTTTTGTTTCGTTGCATTTGAGAGTTTCGAGTTTCTTCGTTCTTCGTTACAACCAGGTACTTCAGAATAATTGAGGTAATCGAGTGTTGTTTTTTTGCGGGGGGATGAGGATGGGGAGAAGGAGTTGTAGCGTTTTTAACGCGTGCAAGCGCGTTTTGTTTCGTTTTTCTTTCGTTTTGCCTTTGAGGAACCTTGAAATTGGAAGCAGCATTTGGGCCAAGCCACCACATGCGATACTATTTCTCCTGACACCGCGTTGTGTCCTAATGTCGTTTGCCTCGCCGCCTAGTAGCCGTAGAGGTAGGGATACATTGGCACAAAGATGGCGGGTCCCAGCTGGCGTTCTTGTGGCATGTGGGTTTTCATGTGCTTTTTGAGGTGATCCCGGCGTCCGAATTTCTTGCCGCAGGCTGTACAGGGATAGGGCCTCAGACCGGTGTGGATGCGCTTGTGGCGTGTCAGTTCTTCGTTGCGGGTGAAGGTTTTGCCGCAGGTTTCCACGTCACATTTGAAGGGTCTTTCGCCGGTGTGGATGCGGATGTGTCCCTTGAGTTGGCCATTGTTGGAGAAGGCAACATCGCAGTGGGGGCACTTGAATTTCTTTGGTCGCTGTTTGCGGGCATTGACAGCCTTCAGATGGGCCTCCTCGGCCATAACACGGGCATATTCCTGCTCCATAATACTCAAGGCATAGGGATCCAAGGCATAGGCGGCAGCAGCAGCGGCGGCGGCCGAGGGTGAAGTGGTTGGGGCTACATTTGGTAATCCAGCTGCGGCGGCAGCGGCATAGTAAAGATCGCTGGCAGATGGAGGCATCATGTGCATGGCTGAAGCGGAATGCATTGGATTGTCCATGGAACCATAGATGTGAGAAGCGGAAGGAGCAGCAGCATAGTTCATGGATTGCGGCATCATGTTGTGCGATGTTGTGGTATTGGCCGACGGCGAGGAGGTCTCCATTTGAATGCTGTTGTTGAAGCTCTCGTCATAGGATTTGCTCGAGGAACTGCTGGACGAGGCACATTCGCGATCGCTTTCGTTGCCACTGAAGGACAGGTTTTCAGCTTTGATTAGAGTTGAGGTAGATGAGGCTGACATGTCTTCAGTGGAGGAGTTGTATTCCGATTTGACCAACGGCTGTTGGGCTGGCACTACTTCCTCTGGCGTCCGGTTGGTTTCTTCGCGGGACGGAATGCAATCCCAGGGACGGAATAGTCTGGAGTAGGTTTGTGGTGGGTGCATATTCAAGGTAGACATGTTGTTGGTTTTCGTATTTGTTTTTTGTTAATTAATTTAAAAAAGTTTGTAAAATTTTTTTTCGTATTTTTGTTTCGCTGTGTGCGTGTGTATCAGAAACACTTTCACTAATTTTCTTTTGTTTTTTTCCAATGATTAATTTTTTTGGTTTTTTCGTGAAAATCGTTTGTGAGATTCGTGTGTGTTCTCGTTAAGATCCGTGGTGGAACTGATTCACTCGATGCTCTGCGCACAGTATATAAACGGAGACTGTGAAGAGACAGCCGACAGGACTACCTACTTCGTTCATAGAGATGTTTGGTGTGTTATCCTCATGAGCGTGTGTGTGTCTGCTTGTTACCTAGGTGTTGTTGGTGTCTACACACTGGCATAGGCTTATTCACACACACACACACACTCTTACGCACAACATTACTCAATCACTTGGCTTAGGAAATTCCCTGTTAGCCAAAAGAAAATCGCCCTGATTCATATTGTCTATCCATCGGTGAGTGAATGTGCGTGCGCGTGTGTGTGTGTCGAAGTGACTGAGCACGAGATTGTGTTTGGCTTCATTCATGGATTTATTTACCACAAATCCATGGCATGGATTCGCCCGTTGTAGAGAGTGCGTCTGTGTATGTGTGGGAGAGTGCGTGTGTACGTGCGTTGGGCTATTAGAGAAAGCCCTTGTTTAGGGGTGTCTCTTCTTCTGTTTGGTTTTTTTTTGTTTTGCATGGAAGAGGATTTCAACAATGGCTTCCCACTTTTAACAGCAGACATCGCGGCATCATTGTGGCTGGCTGGATGGTTGGATGGATGGATAGCTGGCTAGCTGGATGTTTTCTTGTTGTAAAAGTCCTTGTTATGCTGTTGTTGTTGCTGTTTATCGTTCCGTTTTACTTCATTTGATGCAGGATTTTTATTCAATTCATTTAAAGCACAGTGGTTCAATTAAGTGCCAAAAGTAGGTACAATGTTTATTTTATAATTTTATTGAGAGGTACAATTGTAATTGGTAATTGAACATTTTATGTTAATTATACCATTGCATTTACCAAATTATGGATATTTCCAATTTGTTTTTGCGAAACAATCAATGGATAACTACATTTTGAGAAATTACCTGTGTTTCACAAAAATGTATGTTGCGCATTTTAAATGTTTATTTTGTAAAAAAAAAATAATAATCACCATTTATGATTACAATATTTTGTTAGATGTGAATGAGTCTTTAAAATATCGCAGTATTTAAATTTTACCAAATAAGAATAACATACTTAATTCTGATATAATATGTTATACACATACGAAGAGAAGGCAATTTACATTCAAATTTTTAAAAAAAATTGTCCTTCGAGAAGGGAGTGGTGCTAGGTACATATTCAAATGGATTTGAGAGTAGTATACTATTTTTGGAATCCTCTTAAAATACTACTAAATTTAAATAGCCTCACAATAAACTAATTTGTGGTCCTTAGCCAAATTTTTAGCTGAATAAGCCAAATTGTTTTTTTTAGGATTAGAAGTTGTGGGATATCTCTCATATAACGGCTTGGTGGCGAATTTTCAATTCTTAAAACTATATGTAATTCTGAAAACCCAAGCAAACAAGTAAAATAGTATCAGTCGGTTTTGTCGATAGATGTATACCCCCAGCCTTGACCTATGATTATTCAAACTGTTGACTGTTTATAGAGAAGGTCCCGAAGCTCTTGGCCAATGTCTGACCTAAGACTGATCTAAATATTACAACGTACCATATTTGGACTATATCGACTACTTCCTGTACTTGACATGAGATATGTGTAAATTTTTGGAAAATGCGGAAATATTCGTGAGGTAACAGAAATAGCGAACCGAAGTATTCCGTTGTCATACAAGTAAAAAAGTATCGGTCGGTTTTGCCTACAGATGTATACCCCCAGCCAATGTTCGATTATTTAAAAGTATTTTGACTTCTGTTATGATTATTTAAGCTCTTGACCTTCTATGGAGTGAGTTTTAAAAGAATGGACCAATATTGTCCATTTCGTATCGGACCTAAGTAATGTGATATAAATAAATACGATAAGAAAATCAGACATTTATATACAATTTATGGGAAATCAGAAATTCAATATTAATTTCAGGATTCTGGTTGAGAGACATAAATTTTAAATATTGAAAATTGTGTCCCTCTGTGGGTGGGGTACCAGAAGGGGTTCGCAGATATATAGCATCTTCACAACAGATCTTGTGTTCTCAAAAATGTTTGTATGAAATGTAAGGAGATGGATGGATGGCTTATATCGCTTCCTTTGAGCATTTAGTTTTCATAAATCTTGTATTCTATGTAGGGGAGGTACCAGAAGAAATTGTGCGATCTCTACATATTTATAACAGAGTTTGTGTTGATGGCAATATTAAGATTTATCAAGCCTGAATGGAATCGGTCGTTATTTTCGCGTTTTATAAACTTCATGGATATTCAAAATGTTGACCCTTTGTAGAGAAGGTACCAGAAGGAGTGGAACGATATATCTCATCTTCACACCAAACATCGGTCTAATAAATATATTGTGAAGTGTGTAATTTGAAGAGAACCGTTTGCTTATTTCGAATTTTATGATCGTTTTGGCTATTCTAAACCATAACCCTTTGTGGGGGAGGTACCAGAAGTAGTGGACCGACATATTCCATCTTCACACCAGACCTTGGGTTAATAAAAGTATTGTGATGTGTGTCATTTGAAGACAATCGGACACTTAAATCACATTTTATAAAAGTTTTAATTATTCAAAATGTTGACCGTTTACGAGTAAGAGTGGACCGATTTTGTTGATTTTCACACCTGACCTAGGGTGTACACCTGTGAATATTAGGATGTACAAAATCGGATTATCCTTTCTCTTTCTGTGCAGTAAATTATTTTCCTTGAAAAGTTTAGTACCATTTTTGAACTTTTTGAAACCTTAAAGTTCGAAGAATTCTAGCTCACCCGTTTATAAAATAATGCACAATTTTGAAATGAAATTTGACCCAACCAATGTGCTGCTTAGTACCAATTCCACTTTAAAGACCCAATTCTTGCTGTACGCTTTCATAAGCAAAAAGTACAATTTCAGCATTGATTTTTACCGAACATTTTAACTTCATCAGTCAAATTTTGATAACTTTAGTTCTAAACAAATTTAAAAGAGATTTAAAGTTCGTACTGATTGAGGTTTTTTTTACCCTTCACCAGTCAAGGTTTGAGTTATGGCCACATTGGTTATCCTCAAATTATCTACAATTTGGAGGTCACGTTATATGGCGGCTGAACTTATATTGACTATTTTTGACTGGAGTTATTCTACCCACAAAAGCCGAAATATCGAAATACAGCTGATTTGTTTAGACATTGCGTCAGAAAATCAGGAGGTAACGTAATATAGATACTGTATCTAAAAGTGGATTGATATACCAAACATTCTAGGAATACCTTGCACCAATGCTGACCTTGGTGGAAAATTTAAAAATTCTAGCTCTATAAGAATACAATTTGAACTCTGAGGACGACCTTCCCAAAACACCGAAAAAATTCAACTTTAAGGTTATGGCCGTTTCGTTTGGGCGTTGATTTTTATTTAAGATTTAGTCTGGGCTATAAAATACTTATGTTTGATAAAAAAAATCTATACATATTTTCTGTCAGATTTCCATTTTCACTGATTTTTTTGAAAAATACCGCTGTCTCACAATATTTTCCAGACTTCGACACAATATTGAAATCCGCCAATGGCACATTTTTTGACGAATTTTATGTTGACGAAGAAGTATAAATACACTGAAATGGATATAGTTTTCTATAACACCTGGAACATGATTTTTTTACTCTCAAATCCTTAGTTATTTAGCTAATATTGAATCTAGGGATTATTTCCTAAAATTTGAAAATTTACATTTTAATTCTTTACGAATCCCTTTTTTCTTTTTGGTTTCTTTTTTTATTTTATATATCCAAGTGATACGATATTGCCAAGGATTTATCGCTCGTAAAGTTGTAAATATTTATCTAAAATTTTATTTTATGGAACGTGTTTAAATGACATTTCTTTTGGCTGATAGTGTCTCTTGCATTGGCACAATAGACCCACGGTCTTGATGCCAAAACCAATTTTATGCGTCTATCTATGGCAGATAGATGGATATAAAAAAATATGAAATGATTTTAGCAAAAATCTATCAAGAAGCTCCGGAGACATGCCAAACCTACACACACACACTCACACACATGTATACTCACATACGTCTGTTTGTGTGTATGTATGCATAACCTTTTGTCTATATTAAAAGTGTGTGTGGAAAAAGGTTTGTGCGAACTTATCGCCAGATATCATCTCTCTTAGAAACATTAACTTTTTCCCAAACCCCCTGTTCATGGCATCGCCGCCACTCCACTCCACTCCACTCCATTCCATCCCGCCACCAAACCACAATCGCTCTAATGTTTGGCGACGTTGGCCTACCGAAAACGACAAAAGCGCCGTTATTAGCCTTTTCATGGCATTTGTGGCGTAGTCCCATTAAATTGTACGAGTTTTTGTGGCAAGGATGTGTTTCCCCGAAGGATGGTGCTGATGACCGGGCATGAAAAGCACCCAACAACAACAATAAGGACCGCTGTAAAGCCACCCCTCAATATTTTCTGGGCAAATCGATGCTGCAAATAAAAGGCAAACCGAACGAAATAAAGTATGGCGAAGAGCCCTCAAAACAATTTTTAGGGCTTTGATTTCGTTTCGTTGCTGTGACTCGATTATAAATAACAACACCAACAACAAAATATATTCAAAGATACGCGAACAGACGTACGCACGTACATACGCAATGGGCTGGAAGGGAGATACGTAGATACAGTTTCTACGCACTGCTATACCCAGCGATAGATGTACATAAAACTTTATACGTTTGTATGTATGTGCATCTGTGTGTGTTTTTGGGTATAAATGATTCTGTATAAAATCTGTATCAATGATGCTTTCTACAGACGTACATACATACAGACACAAACATAGCTTGTCTGAGGGGGTTGGCGGTTTTGCGGCATAATTGTGAATTTTACGCTTACCTTCGAGCAAACCCTCCACAAAAATGGTTGAATGTATTTTTGACAACACCCCAAAAATACCCAACGGAATATCCATTCGGCAGGAGGTGGGGGAAATGAAAAGCCCAGTCAAGCGAAAAAAGTTGTTAGCGAAGGCAGGCACGAAGG